ACAGGAGGGTTGTAGGAGGGAGCAGGAGGACTGTATCTAGGACCACTGTCAGCAAAAGCGCCAAGAACGAGGGCAGCGATGATCAGCTGTAAGATAACATATTTCACATTAAGCGTGTAATTATAATTGATATATTATATTCAAGGTCTATTACAATCACAACCAAAACGTTTGGTAAAGAATGTACCAGGAGAGCCATGTTAGTGATGAAGTGAAGTGTGATATATTGACGGGCGAAACGCGCTTTATATACTCTCCCGCCTTTCGTGCTGTGATCTCATCGGTGTTGAGAAAGAGTTCGAAAAGAGGTACATTTTTTTTTCTTTCCTTCTTTAATTTAACCCCAAACCAAGACAGTGATCCTCGTCATATATACATGTGTGTCTCTGTGTGGGGGCATACATACATACATACATATATATATATATATATATATATATATATATATATATATATATATATATATATATATATATATATATATATATAAAGGTTTGCCGTCATGCAGCTAGGGCCCGGGGCAAAAAACAGGGCCAGGCCCTCAAGGCCACATCCTTTTTAGGTGGGAAACGCCATTTTCAAATATGAAACGCCCATTTTCCCCTTAACTTTGAAGTTAAGTTATGTTATGAGTTAGTTGTTCTTGGGCTCAAATAAGCGACTACTGTAAGTTTTTACTGGCCCTTTAGGACCCGGATTCGTTGCCCTGGCTTCCCTCCCCACACCCTGTCGCTGGTCCTGTGTATATACATTGATAGATGTAGATATGTGTGTATGTGTATGTTTGATTACAAGCGTGTGCATATGTGTATGTATAAATATTCATTTACATGTATGTGTCTTTATGTATATATGTGTGTTTGTGTTTATATATGTTTTTGTGTTTATATATATGTATGTATTTGTGTTTATATGTATGTGTGTTTATATGTATGTGTGTATATGTATGTGTGTTTATATGTATGTGTGTATATGTATGTGTGTGTGTATATATGTATATATATATATATATATATATATATATATATATATATATAGAGAGAGAGAGAGAGAGAGAGAGAGAGAGAGAGAGAGAGAGAGAGAGAGAGAGAGAGAGAGAGAGAGAGAGAGAGAGAGAGAGAGAGACAGACAGACAGACAGACAGACAGACAGAGAGGTATTTATTTACACTGACACACACACACACATATATACATATATACTCACTTTTTTCTTGCCACAGTTCAGCATCAGCATACACGATCACGGGAATCCATCAATAGACTCTGAACCGAAATGACTAACGAGGTCTTGAAGCAGATAAATTACGTGTTGAGTGCACATGAAAATGACTCTAAGCCACAACCCATTGATGTTTTTTTTTTTTTTTTTTTTTTTTTTTTTTACACCCCAATGAGTCTCCATTTTATCGGTATGCAGAGCCGAGTTGACCCGAAGATTCCTAATCCTCTTGAGGCTGTGATAATGCCACAAGATGAATGAGACTCAGGACAGAGATAGGGGAATGAAGAAGGCTAAAATATTATGGCTAAATTAAGGTAATGGATGGTTTGGTCAATCTATCATTTATCTGTTAATGTGACTACGTAGAAGTAAACATTCCCGTTTTGATAATTATATGATAAATATAAATGAAGGCTATCCAGATCATTATGTTCATATAGCATCTTCCCACTACAAATTGCCATTACATCTATCTTATGTGTGAGAATGTTGCAATCTTTTCCACGCCTGTATGTTAGTTAATGCAAACTATCCCTTATCAATACAAAAATATGATAATATTACAAAGAGCGAGACTATAATACTATTCACAATCCCCAACAAAGATAAAGCAACAAAAACCTAAAGTAGAGAAACGTGATTTACGAACGAAGGAGAAAGAGATCAGTCATTCTTTGTCAGAATGTTCATGTAAATGTAGTCCCAGTGGCGCAATCGGTTAGCGCACGGTACTTATACGACAGTGTCTGAGCCATGCCGAGGTTGTGAGTTCGAGCCTCACCTGGGACAAATATTTAGTATCCAGAATTATCCAATTAGATTAGATTTGCTGCAAATATATGTCTGTGAGTGCATACATATACATACATTCATTTATATATATATATATATATATATATATATATATATAATATATATTATATTAATATATATATATGTAGTGTATGTATGTAATATTTATATACTGTAATATATATACATATATTATACTTCTGCTCTTTATATGATACACACACACACACACACAACGCAACATACACACACACACACACACACAACACACACAACACACAGCACATCACACATATATATATATATATATATATATTATATTATATATATATTATATATATATATATATATATAATATATATATTATATATGTAAATGTATATATATATATAGTATATATATATATATAGTATATATATAATATGATGTATGTATTTATATATACAATGTAATCTATCTAATCTATCTATCTAATCTATCTATCTATCTATCTATCTATCTATATTTATACTATATATTAATATATATAGTATATATATATATTTATATATACAGGACAGCAAACACACGCCCGCATACACACAACAGATATACATATCAGCAATAGAAACAAATAAGAGAATATGTTCCTTTCCACCATATAGCCATCAATATTTACCACAGGAGCAGGTGCAGGGGCGTTGTAGGATGGAACAGGAGGGTTATAGGAGGGAGCAGGAGGACTGTATCTAGGACCACTGTCAGCAAAAGCGCCAAGAACGAGGGCAGCGATGATCATCTGGAAGATAATATACAAAAAAAAAAAATTATTAGTTACAAATAATGTGTGGGCATTGGTTTATATATATAAAGTCACAGTAAAAATGGCCTTTGGTTGGTAATGTACCAGGAGAGCCATGGTGGTCAGGAGAAGTGTGTTGCATCGACAGGTAAAATGTACCTTATATACTCTCTCGCCTTACGTGTCGTGACGTCATGCGTGTTGGGAAACCGGAATTAGAGCATTTTTTCTCCGTTCTTTTTCCTCTCAATCTTTTTATTTATGCCTCATACTTCACACACATCAGCACACAATCTCACACACAAGCTAGCATTCACAGAAACACAACAAACACGCACACACATACAAATGGACATATATATAGATAAAAATTTACAAAAATATATACAGATAGATAAATAGGCATATACTATATGTAATATATAGTTGAATATAGAAATATATATAGGCATATTTATATAGATATGCACAAATATATGTTTGTAAACACACACACATATGTGTATGCATATATATATATATATATATATATATATATATATATATATATATATATATATATATATATATATATATATATATATATATATATATATATATATATATATATATATATATATATAATATATATATATATATATATATATATATATATATATGTAACGAGTATATATACACATATATATGCATATATACATATGCAAATGTTATATACATTAGCATATATATAAAATAAATAAACTTTATATATAGACACATATATAGTATTTATAAATACAGACATATATATATATTATATATAAAATATAAGTGTGTATGCGTGTGTGCGTACCTGTATATATGTGTGTGTAAGTATGTGTGTGCAAAAAACAAAACCATTTTTTCAGTTACATCCGCTATCTCTCACTCTCCTTATATACAATATATATATGTGTGCATACATATGCATATATATAAACATAATACATATATATATATATATATATATATATATATATATATATATATATATATATATATATATATATATATATATATTTATATATATATATATATATATATATATATATATATATATATATATATATATATATATATATATATATATATATATACATTATGTACAGATATGTGTGTACAATATTTTTCTATCTTCCACTCTCTATCAACCTTTATATATTTATATATTTAAGCATGAGTTTAACACACACAGACGCATATATATGTGTGTGTGTGTACATATAGATATATATATACATATAAAGAATTTTTATTTACACGTAATTGTCCAATTTCTCTCTCTCTCTCTCTCTCTCTCTCTCTCTCTCTCTCTCTATATATATATATATATATATATATATATATATATATATATATATATATATATATATATATATATATATATATATTATATATATATATATATATATATATATATATATTATATATATATATATATATTTATCAATGTGTGTATGTATGTGTGTGTGGTGTGTGCGTGTGTGTGTGTGTGCGTGAGTGTGTGTTTGTGTGTTTGTGTGTGTGTGTGTTTGTGTGTGTGTGTGTGTGTGTGTGTGTGTGTGTTGTGCATATATGATGTATATATATACATCTATTATATACGTATATATTATATTTTATATATACATATATATGTATGTATATGAATATATATATGTATATATATATATATATATATATATATATATATATATATATATATATATATATATATATATACATGTGGTGTATGTATATATATATGCATGTGCGTAATACACATAGAATATCAAAATGAAAACCTTTCAAGGGCCAAATTCCATTGCCCGGTTCCATCTTGTGGGCTAACAATACGTACACACACATATAAATAGTATGTGTGTCAACGTTTGTATAATATAGATCTAAATTTTCTTACAGCTAAAATTTAATGAACCATTCATATTCTTTGTGAACCTCCTTACGGTTCGGACCCATAGTGTTGTATGTGATCAAAAGAATGTGGGATATCATGTACCTTTATTTCCTCGAGTGATACTCACCCCTGTTTTGCAAGGGCTGGATCCATATTGAAAAAGGTTTATAGGTTGCATTCATAGAAAAATCAGGTATGGTATATCAAGTCTTTTTATTATTTTGCTTATTACTTTTTAACTTTTAAAAATACAGTATAACAGTTTTTAAAAAATATTAATATTTATTC